CCCCTTTTCGTTCTACTGCCCCCCTGAAAAATGAAATTGCCCCCTGGGGGGCATTATCACCCACGTTAAGAACCACTGGTATATATCATATACATCCATAATTTTAAATTGTGCAACATTCTGATACGAATAAAGAAAAGGAAGATAGGGATCCTGATAATTGTTCAGAGAGGCATATATTTCATGAGATGAATAATTGTTACCTAATGTACATAAAGAAAAGTAACTTTCACCGTAGAACAATGGGCATCACATCTGGCCCACTGTTTGTGCATTTGCTTCTTCACCTAAAAACAATTTTATATTATCTTTGCTTGGTGAAGAACTGGTAGAACTGGAAAGCTCTCCTTTTTTGCAACTTTTTAGTGATCCAATAAAGGGATCATTCAGCCCAGAAATGTTTATCACACTGTATATATGGTGATAAATTTGTCACCAAACTCCAATTTTTGTGCTAACAGATTACCACAATTACTTCAAAACTGAGCCGTATTGGATAGTTTTCTAATATACATGTTTAAGTGGGAGTTTATTGCAGAAATAAATCACAAAAATAGCAACATGGAGAGGATAGTTTTAAAACAAAGAACAAGGCAAAAGATAGTTTCCCTTAAACAAGTATGCATCGATAAAAGCATGCATTGTTGTTCCACTGAAATAGTGTATTTTGGACAAAAATTCAAAAAGAATGTTTCAAAACCTGTTTTCCCTCCTGCCTCTTATTATTACTGACAGAAGTGCTTAAACCGAGCTATGGTTTACATCAGCAGGCAGGCCTTCCTTTCTGAGTCAAGAAAGGTCAACTGCACAGTTTCTGAAAGGTGGTGACGTGAAGGAAAAAAAGGTTGTGAGGGCAGGAGACCACTTTGAAATTTCATTAGGAATGTTCTCCAAAAGCAGGAAAATAACAGCACGCAGCCTTGGTTTTTTTCAGAATTAAGTTGTGTATGTTCCAAAACAGGTCTCCTGTTATGCTTGGTTACTTTGAAGGACAGTGATGTGTTGTATTTCATCTTACCATTTTTTAAAAAAATGTTCTTAACATTACGTAGGAGCATAGGAAGTTGCCTTGAACTGAATCAAATCATCCATCTAACTAGCCCTGTAATGTTGACAGTGATTGGCAGCAGCTTCAGGGCTTCATTTTTTCAGTCCTACTTGAAGATCCCAGGAATTGAACCTGGGACCTTCTGTGTGAAAAACAGTCATCGTGCCAGAAAGATATGCCCCAAACATAGTGTATATATTTAGCGAACTAACTGCAGTAGTATTTTTTTACAGTTAACATTTACAATTTAACATACAGTCCAGAACATTCGATTCCATGAAAGGAAGGTCTGTTGTTATAGCTGAAAAATGGTGTTGCGAGTCTCAACATTTTTCTCTAGTATTCACTGAAGGAAGGATTTGATCATAATCTTTTAATTTAGTGATTTCATTAAAAAGTAGAAGAATAATTATTGGATCTGGCTCCATACAATAGACCTGTGTTTCACTAGCAGGAGATAAAATCAATAGGTTTTCAGTGGCAACTTTAGCTTGATTCTTTGGAGAACTACTTTTAGAGCATTTGGCACATGTTCTTTGGATATTTTTAAGGAGAGAAACGTATTTTGCTAGATGGCCTTAAAATGCCTCTCAGTCCATTTAGACTGGTGGTCCCAACTGTGTCTTAATTTGGTTATTTAAAAAATAGTATCTAGCAATGATAACGGTTTTTCTGAGTTTCTGTTTCAGTTGGCCCAGGATCTTCCTCAGGTTTCATGTTCCTCAATAAGTCTTTCTTTTTAGATTATTATATTATTTGGCTGTGAGAGTTTAGCCGCCTAGAGTGGTCTGAGCTGACTAGATAGGCGGGATATTAAATAAATAAATAAATACTAGATACTGTACCCTTTTTAATATTGTATGCGTGAGTTGGGTCTAATGTACAGTATGGATGGTGAATTAGATATACTACAAAAACTGCCCAAGGCAGCATGCACAGTTCTGTTTCAGAAGGGAAATGTTGGTGTTCCTTGGGTCCTGAGAAATTCCGCTATTTTAATTGTCCAGAGAACATTTAAAACATTCACGCAAAAGTGGTCTTTACCTTGACTGCACTGATGCATGTGTAACCCAATGAAACAATATGGATGTTGATGAGCTTTAACAGGTGGGTTTTGTACTCCAAACTCATGTATTAATTTTTCATTTTCAGTGTATCCATCGAGACCTTGCCGCAAGGAATGTTTTGGTGACTGAAAATAATGTCATGAAAATAGCTGACTTTGGGCTGGCCAGAGACATCAACAATATAGATTATTATAAAAAGACTACTAATGTAAGTGGATGACAATCTTATCATTTGATCCCGTATCTTTTTTCAGAGGTGCATTTAAGTATGGCAAATGTATTCCTAATGGACTTCTTGTACAGCAGCCTAACTTTTAATCAAAGAAATGAAAATAATAGGCAAGTTGTAAGGATTTCTAACCCCTTTTTACTAGGAAAGGAAGGTTATCTGCTTACACAGCCTGGGAGAGTATGTGTTACATGATGCTTTCTAAAGGATAAGGTTTACCCGTTGCTTTTTATGGTCTCCCTGAAATGTGTAGCACATTCTTTGACTGTTAGCTAGATAGGGAATATAAATATAAATTTGCCTTTTTTGTAATCAATGGACAATTTTGTGGAATGCATCCATTCTGTAATTGTTAACATTTGGTTTTAGTTTCGTTGTGGTCTTATATTACCCACATTTCAGTTTGGAGTCAGTTGAAGCTTGGTGACATACTTGGCAACCCACTAGTTCAAGTAAAAGAGTTCACAATTTACTTTATATGCCCTTGTTACAGACAGCAGCTTATATGGGTAAAAACAAAAATGAACATCTGTACTCATACTCATAAGGCCTGTGGTGCTGACAGCAGAAAATAAGCTGCAGCACTAGAGTAATAATGCATTACTCCAGAAGCCTATGCATGGGGGAATCACATCTTTTGGTGTGGCCCCTTGCTGAGAGACAACAACCATCTGTTTGTCTATGGCTGCTTTGGGCATTCATGTTTACTTTCTTTCGTCATGGGAACACAAGAAACTACTGGCTACCCTGTGGTTTCTCATCCAGGTCCCAGACCTTAGCGTAGCTTCAGCAACATGGATGTATTATATGCCACTGACCTATCAGTTGGCAAGTGGGTCGGATCAGAACTTACTGAATGACTGTGGAAAGGTGCAGGGCTGCTGGGAAGCATTCTCCCCTTCCAGGGTCACTGAAAACTGTTCTAGTATTTTTATTATTATTATTTTTAACCCATGGCTCTATTTGACTAAGACAAAGTAAAAGCTTTTTTATTACATGGGTAGATTCCGCAGATGGAGAAAGGTGCCTGAAGGTTTGTGTGGTGAGAGTGTGAGACCTTGCTTTTTTTTTTTAATTCCTTCAAACATTTTTCTTCTTTTTATGCATTTAAAATCTGATTCCAAAGAACGCAGTAAGAATTGGAATTATATTAATGACCCAAGAAAGTTGGAACGGAGACCTTATTGTCTCCTGTTACACAATACTAACAGTTTATTTGCTTTAGGATCATTTGAAGCCTCAATTAAGGTTTGCCAAGCCAACTGTGGCTAGTTATTTATCTTTACAATATCCCAGCTTTTCACTTTTCTATTTCATGCCCAGGGTCGACTGCCTGTGAAGTGGATGGCACCAGAAGCTCTCTTTGACAGAGTTTATACACATCAAAGTGATGTGTAAGTAACTTTATCTTAGAACCTTTCTTTATCTTTTTAAAAAATTAATTTACTGCTTCCTCTTGGTGAAACTGAATTGCATGTAATAGAAACATATTTAACGGATTAATATAGGTCTCAGATAACGTTGTTTTTCAACCCTTTGATCCACCGGTGAAATTAATTTAGAGATCAGACTTCTTTATTCTGTCTGGATAAAAAGCTGAAAAAATGTTTTCTAGTGGTTTCCCCTACCTTCATCTCTTAAAAAAAGAGAAAAGAAAAATTTCTCTTGCCACATTAGACCTCAGAACCAAAGAAAACAAAGTGTATTTTCAACTTGATTCCTGTCCCATGGATTCTCCCCCTGCCCCCACAATATTGTTGATCTCGCTGTGGTAGATTCTATCCATCCTTGCCTCTCCAAAACTCGTGGTTACCATTTCATTCCCCAGTAAGAGAAAGAAAGAGATAGAGAGAGGTGGTCTTAGAAAATGAGGATTTTCTGGAAGACTGCAAACCAGTGCTCTGTTACTAATCTGGCTGGCTTCAAAGTACACAAAAGACAGAAAACACTGCTTCCTCTTCTCACTACAGAAATTTTCTTTCCTTGAACCTTTCTTTACAGATGTGTAGTTCCAAACTGTTTTTTAAAAAGTGGTTTGACTTGTGGAGAATCTTCTCAGCCGAGGAATACTGTAGTCTCTATGTCTTGAGATACAAGGTGTGAAAGACTGTTGTTCGTTTTGATGTTGGGCTTAAGTGGAGTTCGATTTTCCACTGTCCCTCCCTGACAGAGAGTGGACTCAATGATTCATAGAGTCCCTCCCAGCTCTGTAGTTCTAAGATGATAATGATGAAGATGATAATGATATGTTATTAAGTTGTTTGTTTTCTGTTGGTAGAACTGCAGATATCATTGATATGGTGTATTTTATTGTTTTATATATATTGTGTTGCATGCCATTCTGCATCTCTTTCAAGAGAACAGAATATAAATGAAAAAATAAATAAATAAATAAATATTTTGGACAATGGGCTGGGCAGATAACTTAATTGTCCTTTGGAAACATATACACCAGACAAGCTTCCTGTCTCTTTGTATCCTTGACCCTTTCAGCACCCCATGTAAATATCTCATGCATGTATTTTCATGATTGAAGGAGTTTCTGTACCTCCTCTGGCTGATCAGACTTGCACAGTCATGGCAATTTTGAGGCCAACAATTTGTCCACCTTCCTGTGTTCTGTGTTTTCTAGTGTTAAAAGTGCATTGCTATGCTGTCCTTTATAAATCTGGAGAGATTTCCTTTTTACTCCTCTTTTCCCTTGTTTTGTTTTAGGTGGTCATTTGGTGTCCTAATGTGGGAGATATTTACTTTAGGAGGATCACCATATCCAGGAATCCCAGTGGAAGAGCTTTTCAAGCTGCTTAAGGAAGGGCACAGAATGGATAAGCCTGCCAATTGCACCAATGAACTGTAAGAATGCTTCTTCCTCTTCCTTTACTTGGTCATGTACTGGGCAGAGATACTAACTTCCTAGCTGAAATCCAATCAAATAAGCTTATGTCACATAGGCCTGATGACATCATCAGCTGCAACCATATTTTGTTAATAAAATGTTTCCTATCCCCCCCCCCCGTCCCAGCAGGTTCCTAGGGTCCCAAAGATCCTGAGGAAGCATTTAGTGACTGTGGGATGGATTGGGGGGGGGTCTTAAATATCTGAAAATTACCACTGCTGGTCCTCTTATTTCAGCCACTAAATTGAAAAAATGTATTTTGAACTTTTGTTGGAGAATACATTCTCTTGCACACACAGAGAGAGAAAGAGAGAGAGAAAGAGAGATCATAATGTGTTGAAACCAAATCCTAGTAAATTGGTCTTTGCTTTTTGTTGCATCTTAGACCTTGGCTTATGCCAACCTTCCTTGACCTGGTGCCTTCCCAAAATATTGGATAATATCTCATATTATGCATAGTTGACCATGTTACCCTGGGGATGATGGAAAGTGTCTTTCAACATATCTGGAGGGCAACCATTTAGGGAAGCCTGGCTAATGCACTAGCACATGGAGGAGATCACTTTCAGACTTCAGTGTACATTTTATAAATTGGCTGGCTCCTTCCATTAGGCAGGGAGAACAATAAATTTTTGAGTGGCATGACAAGGTAGCAAACAATTGTTACCTGCCTTGAATCCTGCAAGAATATGTTGTCAGAAGAATTGTCTGTGACCCTTACATTTTACATTATTTTTCAAAGCATTTACATAACTCCTGTGACTGCCTCATACACCCAGAATTGCTTTTGCTTGACCTCCTGTGAGTAAACCATATGGTTTGCAGGTCCATTGTGTAACTGGCAACAAGACTCACTGTTTGTAGTTCTATCTTTAACTTCAGTATAATCTGTCGCAATTTCTAGACAATTAAGATAACATGTCTTATCTTTATTGCAGCATTTGTACAAGCTCTCATCTATTAGCAGTTATAGGGCATTTCACCTTCATGTGAAATATTTCAAAGAATGGGGATAATAATGCTTTGATTTACAGGTTTGTGGGAGAGGAGAAATGGGGCAAAATGGGCATCCCTGTACTGGCATTGTCCAGTGATGGTATACGCAACCAACAAGAAGAAGGGAGAAGCAACACAACAGAGTAGCATGACTGATTTTTAATTTATTATCTAAACAACTACTGTATGGAAGTACAAGTCTGATGGCTAGAGCAAAAATCCAAAAACAATTCAGACAGCCCGCCATAGGTAGAAGCTGCGTCACTGATTCTGCTTGACAAGACCCACTAATCTGCAGGGTTTTAAATATCGCTAGAAAACATTTGACTTGGACAGATAAGGACTTTCTATAGCAAGAATGGGGAATCTGAACCCTTCCAGCTCTTCTTGGATACGGACATCTATCAGGTCTACCAAACATAGCCAGTTTTCCAGGATGAAGGCAGCTGTAGTCCAAACACATCTTGGAGGGGCACAGATGCTCCCCAACCCTCTTCCGTAGGAACCATGATTACTACCACAACTCCCTTCTCAACTTCCTCTTTTCTTAAATGTGAAACACTGCTAAATTGTACAATATAAGTTGACCCTGGCTGCAGTTAAATAGCAGCTCAGTATCGGGAAACTGGAAGTTGCATGATATAGATATGTTAATTAACATGGTGAAATGCTGGTTTCCACAGCTACATGATGATGAGAGATTGTTGGCATGCAGTGCCTTCACAGAGGCCAACCTTTAAGCAGCTTGTGGAAGATTTAGATCGGATCCTTACTCTTACAACCAATGAGGTGAGTAAAGTGCTCTCTCCTTACATGTTGATTAGGTTCAATAGCTCCTCCGATAAATGTAATTATTGTAATTAATGGGAATGCGAGACATGACTATAATTCATTTAGATATAAAAAAAGCTACTAGGACCATCCATCTTCCTGAAAGAAGAGTTGTCTTCAATTCCTCCTGGCACAGCTGGATTTACACAGCAATACAGAGGTATATTAAAATTTGTGTACATGTGTCTTGTGTCTACTTTTTTGTACTGCATAAAGCAATACTGCATAAAATGTGAAGCAATTGGCTAAAGATGTGTGAAAAGGAAGCAACTAAAGGCTCATATGGAAGAAAGTTCACGTCCTTCACATTTCTTTATTCACTTTGATTCCTAGGTTTAAGAGGGAGATGAAATAGCATAGCTTGAAAAATGGAAGTTCATGTCTGCCATACACAGTGAATTAGATTCTCATTGAAGCACCAGTAAAAATGGTTTAAATATGTTTTATGACTGAACTAGAAAAATGCCTTGGAATACTGTACAAAAGTGTTATGATGGATAACATGATATGTTGAAAGAGAGCCTGTATATCACAAAAGACTCCATATATGCACTTTTTGCACAAGTCACGTTACATGCCCCTTGCAGGATGATCAACAATTGGTCAAGCCACCCAAAGGAAGGCAGATTTTGCCCACTGAAGCTGTGTCCTCAATGTACAAATATAGATAAACTAAAGCAATGTTATTGAATGATACAGTTGCTAGGAGGCAGAGGTTAAGTCACTTTCCTGACACCTCAAGCTGCTGAAAATCATGCCTACTTCATAGCTTTGCCATCCAGAGTTCATTTTCTGGTCATGTTAAAGTGGCACAGTACCTGATAATTTGGCTTTTGCTTCATGGACCTAAATCGAGAATAATATTACTGGAGGAAAATAGTGTGCTACACTACACTTGATCTTAGCCAAAAGGCCGAGAAGCGATGTGCTAGCAAAATATTAATTGTTTCCAGTTGCACAGATGGTAGCATACTGCCAAGAATTGGGACCAGTTGTACAGTTGATTGCACAACTGATTCTGGAAAAGCTTATGCAGCTATTTGGGCACAGTGTGGCACAGCTGGAAACTTGGTGAAATCTTTCTCTTACGCATAGACTGGAACTAACTCTTTCTAAGTGTAGTGTTCTTTGCACTATGAGACATCACCAACCTGTTTTACATAGCTTCACAGAGGACTAGATACACTATCAAGACTAATTAAGTACTGCATTGTGAAATGGTGCTTAAGAATCTGTTGTGGCTACATACCGTCATCTTTGTCTGATGAAGGTGGTCTGAGGCTAGATGTTTTGAGAAGAAATAGGATCCACTTGGATAAGGAACTATCATGGGGCTGAATTTCCCTGATACTTGTACCAAAACTAGAGATGAGCATACCAAAAGGTGATAGTAATTGATTAGCTTTTTGGCAATGGCTTCCCCAAACCTGGTGATCAACCTCTGTTTGCATATTAAAGCAGACAACCAAGTAATCAAATAAACTGGTTCAAATGAACAGTCCTGGAAAGAATCTGTTAAATCTGCATGGATCACAGTTTATTTCCACGTGTGCTAGCAGCTTCCTCCTTCAATGTGTGCCAGAAATGACCTGCCATATCTTGTTCCTAAAAGCTGTCATGCTAATTTATATTGAGGAAATGATAGTTTCTTTTGATGTCAATGGGAGGTTTGCCATTGATAATGGAGGCGCCACGATTTTAGCCTGTGCACAGAGATAGATCCATACTGTCTCTGGATAGAAATGGAGATCACAGAGATCAGACATGAAAGGATACTTATGAGATATGGAAGTAATGTTAGATCAAACATGTAGTATGAACTATTTTTTGCTCTCTACTGTGCTGTCTTTATTTCACAATTAATCATCATTCTCTGCATAGGAAAACATCCATGATGGTGATCTATTTTACTTTTAAGGCGGTCAGGAATTTTGTTGTAAAAAAACACAATCCAGCCTTATTTGATTGATTTTTCTCATCTTAGAATCGTAACGTGTGGTTTAGTAAATGAAGAGATTGCATTTAAATGAATGCAGCTGCTCTGCAGAAGTTGAAGGCAAAGGAGTATTTCAAGGGGAAAATAACTTTCTTCTCCTGCCAAAATTGTTGTTGCTAGAACTGATTTAGCCTTGGCTTTGGATTCAGCTGATACAACAGGTTTTTCTTTTCTTTTCCTCTGTCCTGTCCCCAGACTCTGTGAGTCTATTAAAACTCAGTGGGATGAGCCTCCAGGCCCCCACTGAAAATAGCAGAGATACTGAAGAGCAATTTGTTTCAGTGGGTTGTGTCCATTGTCCTGATGGCATTTGCCTGCACTGTGTTTTAACAGACGTTTTGATGGCAGGGAGAAAGAAAGAGCAATAGTATCAGCTGAACCCCAAAGGAGTGCTCTAAGCATGCGGTCATTCATGCTTTTGTCTTGCTCCCACTTAAGAATATGGTGTCCCACAAATATTGCAACAGGCAGACATGATCAAATAATAAAAGGAAATAAATAAAAAGGAAAACACCACACTACAGCACCTTATTTTGTATTAGTAATGTTTGAAATGCCACATTCAAAAAAATTGCTTTGTGAATATTGGGATACAGTAAAGGACAAAACAGTCAACTTGACCGAATGAAAGGATCTTTCCCTCTGCAAATCGTTTCCATGTGTTGGACAAAAATAGTTCTATGTAGGGTAAAATTTTGTTTTTATCATTGTAAGCAAAACGTTGGCTTTTGATGTGGCTAGGCATATATATTTCAACTGGTGTGGTTAAAGCTGATGTTGTTGGAACTGACACATCTGCTTCAGAAGTCCTCTTTTTGTTGTTTTGCCTTCCCCAACCCCTATTTTTCATGCTGCTCTGAGGACGTCTAGTTTTATGAGTAGTGTAGCTGTTAGTATTTTTTTTTATCCTGCTGTTCCTCCAAAGACGTTTGGACAGTGCACAAAATTCTCCTTCCCTGCCCCAAGGTTTATCCTCACACCAATCCTGTGAGGCAGTTCTTTTCATTTTGTTGAGATATTTAAAAAAATTTTTAAAAAAGAGCTGAAAGCCTACACAAAACAGGTAACTTTTTAAAAAATTTGGTGCATAAAACTAAAACCATCCAATACAACAGTGATGGTGAACCTATGGCACACGTGCCACAGCTGGCAGGCAGAGACCTCTCCATCGGCACATGAGCCATAAGTCACCAGATTGCTACCCCTCCACACACACACACACCCGCAGCTGAACCTCAGGATCGTAAGCAACCTATCCCTGCTACCTTCCTTGGTTATGACACTTGTAAATCAGTTCTTTTGAAGATCGTAGATAAAGCTATTTTATTGTTCACTGCTGTAGAAGAGCCCACGGCAGGTAATCCGGCAGTTAATCCAGTTTGTAAATTGCTACTTCCACCGGACATGTTATCTGTCCAGCCCATTATCCAAAATGTGTGTGAGAGTGAATGAGTGAGTAAGAGACTGACTCATAAAACCATGAAAAAAGGAACCTTCCAAAGTTTTCTTTGATTGCAACACTAAACAAAAGGTCTTACAAACAAAAGACTGTGTCTTTCTTTATTGAGTTAATCCATATCATGTGCAGTCTTACTCTATTCCTACTGCATTGCATTTTTTTCCTGCATTGCTGCCTTTTCCAGTGAGCTTGTCTTCTCATGATGCCACTGTAGTACAATACCCTTTGTTTGGTTATTTTAGCTTCTAGTGAGAGTCCACACTTAATTCGCTTTACTTATCTTTCTGATAAGTCATGATATCTGTAAAACTCTTTTCCAACACTTCAGTTCAAATAAGTGAAATGTGTGTATACACTTTATGTAGTGTATAAAATGTGGGTAAACACTTTAAAAGTTTGCACTCCTATATATAGCTTCTTTTCTGAGGGTGGCTTACTTTGGAGGAAACAAGTCCAGGATTTCAGTGTAGTTTATAAGCTTTATAAATAGGGTGCATTTAATTAGATGTCGAGCTGGATAAACACATTGGCAAATCAGCTGCCATGTTCTCTAGACTCACAAAGAGAGTATAACTTAACAAGAAGTGACAGCATATACCAAGATCCATGTCTACAGAGCCTGTATCCTGAGTACAGTCCTATACTGCAGTGAGTCCTGGACCCTTTGTGCACAGCAGGAGAGGAAGCTGAACACATTCCATATGCGCTGTCTCCGATTAATTTTTGGTATTACCTGGTGGGACAAAGTTAATATATATATGCATGTATATATTACTGAAACAGCAATGTCTACATTGGCTTGGGCATGTTGTGAGAATGGCTGATGGTCCTATTCCAAAAGATCTCCTGTATGGAGAATTAGTGCAGGGAAAGCACCCCAGAGGGAGACCACAGCTCCAATACACAGATATCTGCAAGCAGGATCTGCAGGCCTTAGGAATGGACCTCAACAGATGGGAAACTCTGACATCTGAGCATTCAGCCTGGAGGCAGGCGGTGCATCATGACCTCTCCCAATTTGAAGAGACACTTGTATAGCAGGCTGAGGCAAAGAGGCAGTCCCAAAACCAGCAAAATCAGGAGCTGGATAAGGGACAGATTATATTTGTCTTCAGTGTGGAAAGGATTGTCACTCTCGAATTAGCCTTCTCAGCCACACTAGACACTGTTCCAAGACCTTTATTTAGAGCACGCCACCATAGTCTCTCGAGACTGAAGAATGCCTACAGATAAACAACAGTAATATTGCATTATGCTGTTGGCAACATCATGAGAGAAGAGCTGGTGAAACTGTTGTCTTTGCCTGGAAGAACACAAGGGAGATATATTGACAATGCTGTGATGGAGGTGTTTTTGTCACAAGACGTAAGAGCAGAAAAATTTATTTCAGTTACTAGTGATGGGGCAACTTGCATGGTGGGAGTTACATCTGGTTTCATACAGTTCCTTGTTAAAGAAGTAAAACAACCAGTCATTCAGTTTCATTGTATTATCCATCAAGATGCTCTTCGTGCCAGAGAAAACAGCAAAAAATTAGACAATATCCTCAGAGATGTCACAAAAATGGTGAATTACATCATGGTTCATGCTCTTAATTTTCAACAGTTTCAAGAACTTCTTGATGGGGGACGGGCACAGTATAATACTTTACTGAAGTACAAAAATAAATAAATAATGTCCGGTGGCTGAGCAGATGATGAGTCCTGGAGAGATTTGTAGCCTGCTTGGATGAAATTAGGCTTTTTATGACTGAAAAGGAGTAAGAATATCCACAGCTCATTGATATGGCCTGGCTTACCAACCTCATGTTTTTTACAGATTTTACAGTACACTTCAATATACTGAACAAAAAACTGCAAGGTTTAGGGAAAACAGCAGAAAGAATGTTTTGTGACATCAGAACATTTGAGAGAAAACTGCAGGCTTTTGAGAGAGAACTTAAAAGTGGGCAGCTGAAATCTAAAAATACATTTGGAAAATTCTACAACATTTACGGACAACCCTACAAGCCATCAGGAAATCTACAAGGAATTTTCTAGCATTGTAGCAGCTGCAAAGGAGAATTTTCAGAACAGATTTTTACAGTTCCGTAGGATGGAAGACAATCCTGTGTTTTCTTACTTCTCAAGATAAAGCCAGATTTGAAGAACTTGATCTCTCCTGCTTACACTGGTTAGATTTTGGAAATCTGGAAATGGAGCTATTGGAATTTCAAGAAAATATCTGGAAAAATAAATTCTATGACCTGCATGCAACACTGGTGAAGACAGAGTGTGAAGGGATGACAAAGGGCAGGACGGTAGTTCTGAAAATGAAATCCTTAAAGTGTGGAATTTTCTGCCAAGTAATTTTAAGTCAATGAAAGCACTTGGGATTGCTCTTCTTACTTCGTTTGGGTCATTTCATGCTTGTGAGCAGCTGTTTTTAGCTTTGGATTATATCAGATCTGATACCAGAAAGAGACTGACAGATGACCTGAGTGCCGCATGTGTTGCTCCCAAACTAACAGCATATGAGCCAAGGTTTGACAAATTATCAGCATGCATACAACATCAAAAATCACATTAATTGTGCAAAAGCATGCCAAATTCAAACTTTTACCTAATACAGTGTTTGCAAGCCAAGACACTAGTTTAGGAGTTGTTTAAAGTGTATTAAGCAAGTTTAGTTTTCTTGTTTATCTTGCTCATCCTTATACAGGCTGACTTTTACTTTTACTAATCCAACACCTGTAGAAGCAGGGAAAGGACCTGGAGTAAGGCTTGCCCCATACAATGTCAGTCTGGCATATACTGTAATCATATTACAATGGTTGTTGCGGGTTTTTCGGGTTCTTTGGCCGTGTTCTGAAGGTTGTTCTTTGGCCATGTTCTGAAGGAAGAACGACCTTCAGAACACGGCCAAAGAGCCCGAAAAACCCACAACAACCATTAGATCCCGGCCATGAAAGCCTTCGCGAATACAATCATATTACAAGTTGACTATCTCTTATCTAAAAATACATGCACAGAATTATTATAAAGGTTGTATGAATTAGTTGGCTTCAGGCTGTGTGTACAATGTTATTACTTTAATATTTTTTTTCCATTTACTAGAGTTGATGGGCTTTTTTTCAATAAAAAGTGTTTGAATCATTGAAAGCTCTGCTATTATGTATTTATTTTAAGAGGATATGTGTTGATTAGTTCAGACAACTGTATGAGTTTTTTTTTCTAAACTAAAAACTCAATATTCAGGTTTAATTGCAGTGTTGGCACTTTGAAAGAAATAATTTGGGTTTGTGTTGCTGTTTGGGCACTCGGGCTCAAAAAGGATCACCATCACTGCAATACAACATCTGTATAAGACTATAAATACTGCAATTGTTGAAACTTTTTTCCAGGCCAAGCCTTAATTAAAATCAGATTGTAAATAGCCAGATTTTTAAGCTCATTGAAAACTTACTTGTGGAAGAACTAACCACACATTCTCAGGAGAGTGGAGTTTGATAGAAATAGAGACACCACTGAAAGGACCTTATTTGTTGCCAATTAATAGGTCTCCATGGAATGCACGTGAGCAGAGCTTCTAAAATTGATTGCAAAGCTCTGGTTCATGGATGTATATGCAGTCCTTCACTTAACCTAGGTACTAGCCCAGGATTATCCAGCAAGCCACCTATATAATCTTCCTTCATTCCTATTGTGACAGTGTTTCATTGACTGAAATCCCATTGTACAATTACACAAAAGGCATAGATTTTAGATGTGAATTGTTAAATCTCTGTAGGCATTACCTGTTGCAAAAAGTTGCACTTTTTGTGTAACTGCACAACAGAACCTTTTCCTATATGTTTCTGTAAAATATATGTGTTGCTCATGTCACAGACCATTCCTAAAGTAATGTGCAATTTATTAATATGTAGCTGTTTTGTCTTGTTTTGTAGGAATATCTTGACCTCAGTGGGCCGCTGGAACAATATTCACCTGGCTATCCAGACACCAGAAGTTCCTGTTCTTCAGGGGACGACTCTGTTTTTTCATCTGATCCAATGCCTTATGAACCTTGTCTCCCTAAATACCAACACATAAATGGCAGTATTAAAACATGAAAAGAACCTTCTTTTATTCCATACAGGAATGAAGAAACAAGAATGTCTACCTAACTATGTAAAACAGCCTTCCTTCAGATGCACGATATTTTGTTTGTACATATGAAATGTAGGGACCAAAAGGGATCAGAAGAAAGAAAGAAAGAAAGAAAGAAAGAAAGAAAGAAAGAAAGAAAGAAAGAAAGAGTTTGACAAGATGTGTTCTGATTATATGGGGTAAAAATTGTACTTTGGAATGCCAACAATATTCAGAAGAAGAATTTTGTGGGCTAGAGATGGACACAAGCTGCCAAGTCATATGTTTGGCCTGTACACCACAGCATCCTTTCTACCTTCAAAGGACCAGTTGGACTTCAGGCAAACACTGGGTCAGCCTTTCTTGTTTATTTTGTAATATTTGGAGAAAATATATGTCGCCACACTTACAGAGCACAAATGCAGTATATAGGTGCTGGATGTATTATAATCAAA